TCTTTGCCCCAGTATCCCCCCCATTTCAGTTAGTTCCCCAAAGACCAGAGAATAACAGACTATGTGCTTTTATGTGTTTTTCTTCTCAGCTTTAGTATACTTAATCAACATTCTTTGGAAGTTTTCTCCCATTTAAGTTACTTGGAAGAGGTCATCTTTTTTTTTTAAAGAGGTCATCTTTTAAAGTTAAAAAAATTGGCACATAATACTTGTATATATTTATGGGGTACGGTGTGTTATTTGCATTCATGTACACGATTTGCTGTGATCAGAGTAGGTTATCACCTCAAATATCTATCATTTCTTTGTATGGAAACATTCAAGATTGAGTCCTGCTTGGAAAATTTGCAGATTTTGTCTCTTTCTTGCTCTCTCCATGATGATTCTGCAGCACTAGGGATAAAAATGGATCCCTAATCTTCTGGTCCCTGAAAGTGGGTTCATCTCGGGGTTTTCTGGTGACACTGGGGTTTACTGTGGCCCCGACAGGAACCCCCGCCATCTTCTTCTAGTGTTCCTCCTTGGATAAGAGAATTTTCCAACTGTACCCTCTCAGCACACTCTGGATCACATGGAAACCACTGGATTCCTTCCAAGATATACAGGATCTGAGAGTGCTCGGGGTCAACAGACTCTTGCCCATTTAACTACCCTTCTCTGTTTTGCATTAGATCTTTGAGAAGCGAATCTTTTAGTAATTCCTTGCAATGATTCATTTCTCACCATTGTCTCTTGGGGTAGTTTTAGTTAGCTCTTGCATTGCTGTAACCAAAATGCCTGACATGAGCAACTTAGAGGAGGAATGGGTTATTTGGGGCTCAGAATTTCAGAGGTCTCAGTCCATAGGTAGCTGACTCCATTGCTCTATGCCTAAGTTGAGGCACCGCATTATGGGAGAAGAGGCCAGCTGAAGAAAGCTGCTCCCCTTATGGCAGCAGGAAGTGGGCTGGCAGGCCACAAGGAAGATGGATCTTTCTAGGGCACACCCTCCCATGACCCACCTCCTCCAGCTACACCCCACCTGCCTCCGGTACCACCCAGTCAGTTCATTCAAACCAGGACGGGCTGATTAGGTCACAGCTCTCATAATTCAATCATCTTACCTCTGAATATTCCTGCAATAACACTTTTGGGGGGACATCTGTCTTCTGAACCACAACAGGTATAATGCAAGAGTTCTTACTGTCCTCTTCCTTTCTATTCAGGCCAATTTACTATTTTAAATATTCCTCTTTCTTAGGTGGCACCAATCACCTTTTATTCCTGGGCTCTAACAGTGGTCCAGATGGGAATCAAGAAATCAGCCTACTGAAAATAGTTAGCTTTAAACAATTGTGCCTAGTATGCATGTCAGCACTAATAGCCTGTCTAGCATGACAACTATGAAATTAGATACATGTACCTATAGTATACATTAATTATATTATAGCTACCATGTCAGTAGAAATCATTTAAATTTTCTTAATTCAAATAAATGAGAAAGTACTTGCCTATGTACTTTTAGTTTAGTTTCTATTTCTGCATGTTTTTGGAAGAATTCCTGCATATTGTTAGAAGTTTGGATGAAATTATGGAATTTGAAGATTTAATTCCTATTTATGTGTGACTTTTGGCTAGTTATTTGACCTCTCTGTGTTTTGGTTTCTTCATTTGTAATTTGAGTAAAATAATAGCATCTCCATCGCACATTTCTAGGAATACTTATGAATTAATGTATGAAAATATTAGAAACATAATTGAAATTCAATCAAACATCTCAGCAAGATTCAGAAATAAAATGGGAAATGTTAAGGGTAACCTTCTGATGTTTGATTTAAAATTTATGTGTCAACATTATTCTTCAAAAATACGTATTTCTTGGATCTGTCCATTAAAAGGTCCGTAGAAGCAATGAGTGCACCTGACTCCCAGGTCTTGGTTGCTAGATACCACTCCTCCTTGAGATAAGGCAGAGCTCTGGAGAACTGATGGATTCCAGGAAAAACACACAGTGAGCCTTGGACATCTTGTGCACTCAACAACGAAGCTCTCAGAACCCAGAGGGGATTCTTCACAAGAAGAGAGAAGGCTGGCTGTCTGAATCGGGAACAGTGGGAGTGTCAAAGAGAGTAATGACTCTACATGATCATCAGATATTAAAACAATGAAAGTCCATGGGTCCAGAGTGATAGCAAAAGCAGAGGTGAAAGAAAGCATTCATTTTCTATCAGTGAACCAATATTTACCCAATTCCTAACTCCAGAATTGTGTAATTAAATGGAGAAGATTAAATATTTAATCTACCTTTTTAGGAGAACCTGAAGTTCCTCTCCAGCTGATGAAAGATGATTTTCTTATACAGAGACTATTTTCAGAGCAAACATGAAAGAAAACAATGGAAATGATCATTTCACAATCCCATGGAAATAATCAATTCAGGTAAGGATAATCAGCTGATACTAAAAGCATAGGATGAAAGGTGGCAAGGAAAGAGTGCACTGCGCGATGTCCACGTATCACTGTAGACAACTCTAAATAAAAAGACGGACATTTTCAGTGATGAGATCTGAGAGGTTGCCTCCCCCATCCCCCACTCCCTGTAATTTTTCTTCAAACCAATTCACCCTTCCTCAACTTACCTGTGAATCATCCATTTGAGATCTTTTAAAATCCCTAGCAAGAGTCTTCTGCTCAGGAGTCCCATGACGTTATTTCAATTCACTGTCTGCCTTGCACACTTCATTTCTAATCTCCCAAGTCTCTGCTTGTGGTATTCACTCTTCTGGAATACTCTTCCAGATTTTATTTACTAACACTTCATACATATTTATTTTTTTTATTTTTTTGGTACCGGGGGATTAAATTTAGGAGCACTCACCACTGAGCCACATCCCCAGCCCTATCTTGTATTTTATTTAGAGACAGGGTCTCACTGAGTTGCTTAGCACCTTGCTTTTGCTGAGGCTGGCTTTGAACTCACGATCCTCCTGCCTCAGCCTCCTGAGCTGCTGGGATCACAGGCGTGCGCCACTTCATACACATTTCTTGTTTTCTGTATCTCTTGTTTTCTTCTCACAAATTTCCAGGGTTTGGCATATACTACTTTGAAACTTTATGGTATATTTTCTTCACCTGATGACATTGCAAGATACTCACATTTGCTTTTCAAATGGGTCTTGCTATGTTGACCATGAACTCCTAGATTCAAGTGATGCTCCTGCCACAGCCTCCTGACAGTTGGGATTACCATCCTGCACCACCACACTTGGGTGCTACAACATTTTTGTGGATGTATCATAGCTAAATACCCAGCATAGTATTAACTAGTTGCTAGACGCACTTCTGAATGCAGCTGCTTTAACACAAAGTATACAGCTTCCCAGATCAAAGGAACACAGACATCTAAGACTGAGCAACTGGCTTAAACCCTCCCTCTTGACTTTGTTTCAGGACCACACCTAGACTCTGCTCTTTATATTTAGCTTCAGTTCTGGATGCTTCTGCATTTCTCTTTTCTTTAGGTACCTTGGCATGTTTTTCTGGTTTTCACATCTGAGTTAATGTTTCTGACAACGATCTTTGATTTTCTTTAAATATTCCTTTTTTTAATTTTCCCTTTGGATTTGCCATGTCTTCTATCCCACTTAATCTTGGTCTGTGCATTCAAACTACTTCTTATTGACTAACTTAAGACAACTTGGCCATTTGACTGGGAAGACAGAATGCCATCGGAAGGAAATGATACCAGATCCTGCTTTGATCAGCAATTCTGCTCCCTCTCGAGGGTAAAAGGTGGAGACATTCGCAGCAAAGCTAAAGACCTGATACAGTTTACTCAGGATTTTTATTAACTGACTCATAGCAACTTTATCAGGACTTGAAGTTTTTCACCAGGAACCATGAATTCAAAAGTAACATTAAAGCCCTACTTCCCAAGCCGGGGCTGCAGCTCAGTGGCAGAGCACTTGCCTCGCATGTGTGAGGCACTGGGTTGGATCCTTAGCACTACATAAAAATAAATAAAATAAAATAAAGGCATGGTGTCCATCTAAAACTACAAAAAAATGTAAAAAAAGGTCTATTTCCAGAAAGTATTGCCGAAAATACTTTCATATCATGGTAATAATACTCGCATGCTGGGCCATTGTCAAGATTGGTTGAATTTCTTTTGAAATGTCTCAGTGCAGACAAGAGGCTCCTGTTTCACCCTGCATAGAAAACATGACAACAATTAATAAGTTTGGGGATATATTTTCAGCAACTCAATGTTGTGTTAGGATTAAGTCACCATAAAAGGACGCAAGAAGGTCCCTACTAACACTCATTTTCATCTTGAGGGAAAAGATTTTTGAATAAATTACCTCTTCCAGTAATAATTAGCAGCTCAGGGGCTCAGCTCTGAGCTTCCGGTACTGACAGCCCTGGGAGAGTTCATCTTGATCTGGATGACAAGGTGGGGATGGGGGAAGCTCACATGTGTGCACACCAGACCCTTTTTGAGAAGGTGCCTTTTTTGCTGCTGCCATGCCTGTAGCCATCAGTCTCCAGATTTCTCAACTTTAGAACAGGAACTTGCACCAGCGACCAGCTAGGGGCCTCCAGGCCTTCAGCCTCAGGCGGGAGCTGCATTGTTGGTACTTCTTGTTCTGAGGCTCCAGCTTCTTGAGCTGAGCAGCTACTGGTTCTTCCTGCTCTCCAGCCTGCAAAGGGCCATTGTGGGACCATCTAGCCTCCAATTATGTAAGCCAATTCAATAAATCCCTTCTTATAATTATATATCCCCTCTCATAAATATATATAATTACATACTATATATAATTTGTATAATATAATGTATAATAATAATATATAATACATAATACAATATAATTATAATATATGATTAAAATATATAATAATATAAATACAATATGATTTATATACTATTTTTCCCCCTATAGCTTTGTTCCTCTGGAGAACTTAGTACACAAACTCTTAAATTTGTAGAAACACTCCTCTTTTCCATTCCCATTTTCTTCCAGATACACAAGAAATTCCAAAAAACAGGAGTTGTTCTGCAGTTCTGATTTCCTTGGATTTGAAGAAAAAAACCTCAACTTTTGAAGTAGGTAAAGTTATGCTTTTTCCTTGGAAGACAAACTTATCAAAGCTTAAGATAATTATTTGCTAAAAAATTTACTGAGATTCAATTATAGGTACAAAGGATATGAACAAATAATTTGGAAAATCAGAACTATTACTTGCTAATCAAATAGCTTCAACAATAATAACAAACACCTTTTTTTTTTTCCTTAATGGTATTAGGAAAGATTTTTTGAGCTAAAATGTGCTCAATTCTGGTGAGCATGAAGTAAACCCAAGTGTGCTGGAAGGAAAAAAAAATCAAAACCCTCTGCAGTATGTCCTGAGAGATTTAAAATTTTATATCCTTTATAAGAAAAAGTTTAATTGTTGGAATCTATGCGAAATGAATACCTGAAATACAGAAGAATAACTTTAGGGAACACAGAATTTCTTTATACTTTTACTTATAGATTACGTTTTTTAAAATGTCCCAAAGCAGAAGGATTATATAATGAAATGTAATATACCCTTGAAAATGTTGCAAAAAAAGTTAATAAGACATACAGTCCAATCACAAGGTACAAAGAATGGGATTCTTTCAATTTAGTGAGATTTCAGGTGATTTTTTTTTTTTGGTGATTGATTTGATGTCTGTATATTTTATAAGCCTTCTATGATATTTTCATCATTCAGAAAAAAATGTTACTGAAGAAACTTGTTACCTTTTTTAGGAAATAGGTATCACGTATCTAGCACATTTATTTTTCTGTTACAAATAGCTTTATGCATTTTGCAAAAATGCCATCCGGAGCACTTTGGTGGGCACCTGTGCCCGGGGCAGCTGTAAAGACAGACAGTGATGACCGGTGTGGTTGAGGCTGCTCAACACGGGGACTGAATCTTGGGGCAGATGGCAGAGGAGTGGGGTACGTAAAGACCACGGCAGCCCTGCTTCCACGAGAAGCTCTTCGGTAGTGCATTCTTTCCTTTCTTTAACACAAAGCGGGAACTTAGTCATTCGTCTGACTCCAGCATGCCACCTCTTCCTTGTACTCTGCTGCCATCTTCCTCTGCACATATTTCCAACTGCTCTGAACTGTCCTACCTCGTCATGAGCACTAAGCTAAACAGTGACATAAAGGCCAGACTGAAGCACTATCTAATTCAGCATTTAGAAGAGTTTATTTTCCTCTGTTGAATATATGCACCAACTGGATGAGTGAAAGGCAAAAGAAATCCCATGGGCTCGTTTCTATCATGCACCTATTTTCATCAGAGGCATTGGCTAGAATCTTGGCCTTGAAATAACTAGTTTACCCTGAAAAGAATGAAGAATTCCATTGAAACATCTTTTTTTTTCAAAAACTACACTTAAAAAATCGCCACCTCATTATTAGAGTGTGTGGAAAAAATATGATTTATTCAACAGAGATTTTATGAGTCCCTACTTAACACTAGTGGCAATCTGGTAACAGAGGACACCAGGTAAGTAGTAACTGTGGGCTAGTTGCTCTGCATCTCAGAAAATCCTTGTAAGAGCTCAATGAGGTACGCACTGTGCAAAAATTAAACTCAAACAGATAAAGGCAGATTAAGTCCCTAAACCACTAGTTGGAGAGAATATGAGAGACGAGGCTTTGGTCACATCTACCCCCAAGTAAACTTTTAATCCCAAGGAAGCTCCTACCCAGTCCTTTCCCTACAAGACAACTTGTGACCTTGCTTGCATCAACTTCAATTCTTGACACACAACTGACGTCATTTCTGTCCCCACTTGAGGTTTTTTATTTTAAGTTTAGTTTGAAATCATGAAATCTCAGAGCACACGTTCAGCTTGCCTGAATTTGTGTCTCCTGTGTTGTAACTCTGATCAGTTCAAATAAACTTTTTTTTTTTTTTTGATGATCAGTTTGTGCTGCTATTGCTGGTAAGGGTTGGTAGTATTAATATCCCTGTGTTATAAAGGAGGAAATTTGCAATTTAGGGTAATCATGTAATTACTTAAAACATCAGAGTACTAACATGTATAAAGCTGAAAAGAACATGACTTTCACCCTAACAAGCAATTGTGTAATCCATCAGAAAGCTGGTATCAAACTACCAGCCAAAACTTCAAAGAAAGATGAGTACTTCCAAGGGAAGATGGAGCCATGTACTGTTTTACCTATAGGAAATCATGGAAGGAAGAGAAGTTCTCCACACCTGCAGGTAAAAATCCAAGTAAAATTTTTTATCAAATCGGCCAAGCACTGTGGCACACGCCTGTAATCCCGGCAGCTGTGAGGGCTGAGGCAGAAGAACTGTATGTTTCAAGCCAGCCTCAACTTAGCGAGACTGTCAGCAACCTAGTGAGACTCTGTCTCTAAATAAAAAATTTAAAAAGGCTGGGGATGTGGCTCTGTGGTTAAGCACTCCTGGGTTCAACCCCTGGTACCATCTTGTTTTTAAACCACATTGCTAAAGACCAAGTGTAGGTTACCACAAGACACTTGGAGTCACAGACACAAGGAGCATTTGTACTCCCCCCACAGGATCTTCTCTTTGAGTTGAAACTGGGTGTGGTGTTCATAAGAAAGACTAAGGACAGAGCAGGAAATTGAAGAAACACCCTTCTTCATGTGGCAGGTGTGAAGGAAGGAGAAAACCTGTCCTTCAGAATTCTTATTACAGAGACGTACTAAGCTACACCTGATTTGTTACCAGCTTATTACAAATGGTGTCACGCACAATATATCTGAAAGCATTACTGCTTTTTCTAGAACATTTTCTCTGTAGGAGTTGCAGAGAGGATCTTATGACCTCACTTAGGAAAGCTCCTAGAATTGGGATGGAGAAAGTCGTTCTCTGAGAGTTGCAATAAGGTGATGTGAGAAGAACAGTTCACTCAGCGTCTTATCAGAGGAAGTTCCGTACACTTCTGCAGCTGGTTTGAGAGTTAGACTCCTGTCAGGGTAAAATAGAATCGGAAAACAGCTGGCTGAGAAAGTCTGAGTGCTTGTTTGTTTTTATGACTTGTTTCTAATTTGTTTTTCAGTTTCCACTCCTCAGCAGATTGAATAATCTCTAAAGATTGGCAATAAAGCCCAAATCTGAGGAGGTCAGCAATATTTTTCTTGAGCGTGTTGGAACTCCCAGCTCACTGTACTTACAGTTAATCCCCAGTGCTTAGTATGGTGCCAAGCTCCTAGTACGTGGTTAGGAAATGTTGAGAGTGAACTGAACCAGATCTTTACTCATTCTGTCAGCGTCTCTCTATCTGGAACCCTGAGACGTGGGCCTTGGCTTGTAGGTGGCTAATGCTGCTTTGTCCAGTGTTTGACCTTGAGATCTGCAGGTTCAGCTTGGCCTATGACTCAAGAGAAGGCTTTCTTATCGCCACCCTTGACCTGACTCACGTCCCCATCTCACCCTCCACTTCCTCTCTCCTGGTTGACACTCAGTTCCACTCCTCCCTCCTCGTATTTCCCATGGTGCCCTCGGAAACCTCCCTTACCAAGCACACAGCCTCCTCTGCCTTCCTGTCTTCAGACAGTGGTTTCCACCATCTGTTTGCTCCCATGGAAGCTGTCTTTGCCCACCGAACAGTGCTTCCCTTTGCCTTCTTTAGTGACTATTTCTCAGGGCTCTGTAGCATTGACAGCATGTTTTGGTCAGGTCCCAGCTGGCAAAATGGGGAGTTGAGAAGGTGAAGCTTCTAGTTGCTCATCCTTGTTGGCAAATCATTCCTCAACTTATTAAAACCCACATCATTTGAGGTTCCTGCCATTGGCTCTTCCCCCCTCCCCCACTTCTTTGTTCCTGGGCACTGTTCAGTCTTTCTCAACTTCTCAACGTCTGTTGCGCTCCTAGTGAAACAGCCCCCGCCCAAAGCTTCTCCATAATTAAGCTTCTCCAGCTCCCCCTGCTCCCCACCATTCTTCTTGTCAGAAAGATTTTTACAAAGAGTGTCAACAGGATTTCTGCAGAGAACTCAGTGTGGTCTGAAGCTTCTCTTTCTTGTAAATACCAGGTTTGCAGACCAAAGGTGTGATGGGCCCTGTCTCAAGACAGCTCACTGTACAAACATTACTCTCTCTGTTTTCCAAGGTCAAAACTCGTGAAATCTCTGTCTGACCTAAAATATGGGACAAATAGTAACTGTTATGTAGCCACCCACTGTCCTATAACCACCCTACTGAGTGTAAATCTAAAAGGATTTCCAGACTCAAGGTCCAGAGATTTTTTTTTTAGGCATTAGCTCCTCTGGACTGCTGCAGCTTAATTAAACTGGCTTCCTGAAAATTCCTTGGCACCCAGCCTTCTCTGTCCTACATCAATAGTTCTCTGTTCGACTGTAATCCCACTGAGCGTCACTTTGTGCAGTTAGTGGCCATCCAGTTTCTAGTTGCACATAGCTCCACCCCAGACCTTCATCTCTAGGAACAGCCAACTCGCTGAAAATGTCAATTTCATATTTTTTTCTCTCACCACCAACACCCAGTTTTCTGCATACCCCTGTTCCAGTTTCCCATTATCTCTTTCTTGGCCCTCCATAAGGCCACTTGTCCCCTCGGTTTTCCCCAGTAGCCCATCCTGTTTCAGAGAGCATGGATTCCTTGATGTTCTGTTCTAGACCAGTGCCCCTCTTTAAGAGAAGCTGGATTCTCCCATTTCTTCTAGAACTTTCCCAGGAAACCCACTCTTCAGGTGACACCAAACCATCTGTCTCCCCCCTGGTAAATGTTTCTGGAGAACAGCACATGACTTTGTGTTTGGGGCTAAATCAGGTTCAAGAAGCCCACCTCCAGCTAGTGTACATTGCAGAATGCAAGAGAGACTCGGATGTGTAGACTCTGGAGGGATATCCTGGGCAGGAGACAATGGTTTGGGAATCATATTCTCACCTAGATTTCTCCCTTTCTCTCCAAAGTGAAAATTGTCACCTCCACTAGGTTACAAGCCAGAGCACTGAGGTTCACCCCCATCTTCTCCTCTGCTTTACCCTGCCACTAGTCCGTGGTTCTGGACCCTTCTACCCATGCACTGTTTTTAAAATTAATT